GCCATGAAGGCCACGTTTAACATCACCATCATCCACCCCAACAACTTGGTGGCCCTGTCCAACATGCTGCCCAGAGGTGAGCGGGTCTGTCCCAGGGGCCACACACAGCCTTGGGAAGAAGGCAGCCCAGGGTTGGGATGCAGGGCGGGGGAGAGGAGGCGTCTCCACATGCCTGAACGGTCCATGCCCAGGCCCCAGCGTCCCGTTTGGTGAAGATCCCACCTGGAAAGTCACCGAGTTCGAAACCACACCCATAATGTCTACTTACCTGCTGGCCTACATCGTTAGTGAGTTCTCATATGTGGAGACAAGAGCTCCCAGTGGCGTCCTGGTAAGAAGCTGGGCCTGTCGGCCCTTCCCCGGGGTTGGCTCTGGCCTGACGGATATTCCTCTTTTATTAATTCCCATCTCAGCCTCTGAGTTGTTAGGCCGGTGTTTAAATCCCAGCTCTGAGTGATCTTGGGCAAGTGTCTTAAGTTCTCTGACCCTCGGTCTCTGCATCTGAAAAATGGGTCTGTCCTCATGAAGGGAGTTCCCAACGCATGGATGCCAAACGGATGATGGCCGTGGCTATTATTATTCCCAGAGCTCCTCCCTAAGGCTCAAAGCCCCCCAAAGACCCCCCAGCCCCTCATTTTAACCTAGTCATCCCCCTTACTAGCCTGGGATCCCCACGGCTTGGCCCATCTGCACCAGGAGCCTAGGGGGAACTCTGACCTACCCCACCCTCTTTGCAGATCCGGATCTGGGCCCGGCCCAGTGCAATCAACCAGGGCCATGGCGATTATGCCCTGAAGGTGACAGGCCCCATCCTGGACTTCTTTTCCCAACATTACGACACGCCCTACCCGCTCAACAAATCGGGTGAGTGAGGGAGCGTTGTGGTGGGGGCGGCGGGTAGGGTTCCCCACCCAGAGGCCGTCCTGACAATGGCTTTGGCCCACGCCACGCCCAGACCAGATTGCCTTGCCTGACTTCAACGCTGGCGCCATGGAGAACTGGGGGCTGGTGACCTACCGGGAGAGTGCGCTGCTGTATGACAGGCAGTCCTCCTCCAGCGGCAACCAGGAGCGCGTGGTCACCGTGATTGCTCACGAGCTGGCCCACCAGGTAGCCCCTGCTTCCCAGGGAGGGTAGGGAAAGGACATGGCCCAAGTCCCCGCTCTGCCCTGGGCACCTGCGAAGGGAGGAGGGTCCCACCCGACAGGATGGCAGAGGGGAGTCACGGCGAGGTTGGTGGAGTCCCGAACCGGTGCCTGGCGCGTGGGGGACACCCGGTGACCGTGAGCACAAGGCCAGCCGGGCTGACCTTCCCCCCCCCAACAGTGGTTTGGGAACCTGGTGACCTTGGAGTGGTGGAATGACCTATGGCTGAACGAGGGCTTCGCCTCCTACGTGGAGTACCTAGGTGCTGACTTTGCAGAGCCCACGTGGAATTTGGTGAGCCGGCTGCCCTGGGCCCC